AGGCTAACCAATAAATTATTCACATACACAGCTTTTGTAATATATTTCGTAATATAATTTATCAGGCCTTGCGATAAAGCGTCGGGCGATGTAAATTTTACGTCGTCCAAGAACGATTTTGCCTGTAGCTATGGCTATTTGCGTCGAGCAAAAAATTTTTTGTTTTGTATATTTAAAGATATTTTTGAGCGGAATTTTAATGAAGTAATTTACGATTATTTTAACATTTAATAAAGTATTTTAAAAACCGCACGCAGTTGATATAAAAGTTTAAATTACAACACACTCATGAATATCGGAGATATTACATAACCCGAATTGGCGCCATAGGGGTCCCTAGGTCGACCATTGCTGTCGCCCATGTAGCCACAGCTCTGATAGCTACAAAAAAACATAAAATATTTAGATTTTAGAAAATAAAAAAATATAGATTATAGAAAATAAAAAAATTAACTATAGTTAGCTATTTTAGTACAATTTAATAGTAAAATCTAGAATGTTTCCAATTACCTCATGTACTAAAACTCCTACGAATTAAACACACTTAAATAAATTATCAAGTTTGTATAATGCACCTGGAAAATCACGTTTATTTTAAAGACTCCAAATACCGCAGAAAATGGAGAAGACAAGCTTCAACTAAAACAACAAGATTTGTTTTTCTTGGTATACATTTATTAATTAGTTTTTATCAAAAAAAATTTGCTCAGACATTTTTTTTTAACATTCTCTTTAATATGAACACAACATGTCTTGGGACTTGGTGCATCCTTTAAAGAATGCGATTCAAAAATAAATAAAAAATTACGATTTTATAACATTTTCTTTGCATAAGGTGTAGAATTAAATCAATATTCGTTTTTGAAAAAACAATATTTCTTCAACAGGTCTATTACCTATGTATCATTGCAAGTATCATAAATGCAGGCAATGGAGATTTGAATAAGTTTTCACATCCAGAAACAACTTCAAGAAGGCATAAGAAAATGGTCTTGACGACTGACGGAATTAAAATAAAGGAATTTTTTATCTCAAAAGCTAAACACTTATCTCTGACTCTTCACATGGACACAAGATAAATTACAGATATTATAAATATTACCCTAATTATAAACTTGAGTAATTTAAGAGGAATAATAGCAGGTTTTGGTAGCTTTACTAGGTTTATTATACTTAGTTTTCTTTACATTCAATGAAAATCAGTTACTTGTAAACCACTTGTTTATTTTGTCTAACTATTTTTTAAATACTTAAAATAGAACTTTAATATCTTTTTGAGAATAAAATTGGTTTGAGTCATCTGCAAATAAGTAATGTACTATAAACAATGTATTATAAGTCATAATGAAAATAATGTATTATAAATCATATTATAATACATTATTAATAATGTATTATAAATCACCAGAGGAAATTCGACATAAGGTAATTTTACATTTAAAGATAAAGCAAAGATTGTTGAAAATGTTAACCTCATAAATATTAAAGATAACATGTCTGAACAAATGATTCTACATGTTTAAAGGTGTCTAAGACAACTATTTATGATATTATTTAAGACATCAAGTCAACAGATGACATCATCCAGATACATCAATCCAGGAAATTTTTGTATACACTTATGGGGACAGATTTTACAAAAAAATGAATACTTACGGGAACATTAGCATTATTGGGGACACTTTTGTGTACCCGTTAATATTTTGTCCCCATAACCATTGTTTTTTTGTAAAAAAAAAAAAAAATGTCCTTCTAAGCTACTATTATAGAGAGCAAAATGCACATACTTCGACTATCAAATAGCCTGACTCACAACCAATGCTGCTACGTCGACTGAGGGTTCAGTTCGGATCAGTATCAAGGTCAGGCTCAGGATTAGGGTTACGGCAAAGATTAAATATGGTTATATTACTGTAATTAATTGTTTTTGTAAATAGTTTTAAAAATATATATATATATAATATATAATAAATAAAAATAATAATAAATAGAATAATATATTTAAATATGTATAAATAAAAATAGAAATAAAATGAAATTTAAAAAAATTATTTAAATATGATAAAAATAGTTAAAAAAAAGTAAAAAAAAACATACGTTATAGAAATAAAAAAACGACATTCCGCGCTCAGTGCTATCCAAACAAGAATTTTTTTTGGAAATTTTTCTTTTCCCACAAAATGAACAAAATGGACATTTATCTTTATTGTCCTTGTAATATCCGGCATTTCCAGGCATTTGCCGCCAAAACAAAAGTATTTTTATCATCTAAAATTAAAAGACTTTGTTCTTTATATAGGTGATTTAAGAGTTATCGGCTTCTTTTTTGTGCCCTTAGATGCCCTCTAAAACTCAGTTTTATGGTTCTGAGGCTGGCTGGTAGTCAGGTTTCCCGAACTCTGTGGTAGCTCTCAGAGAGGCTGATTCCATCAACAGCTGAAAAATATCAAAGTACTAACAGTGCCATGTTGCGCATAGATGGTGTCCCCGTTTGTACTTTTGGTGTGCATTGCCAAGGCCACATTGGAGCCCTTTGTTATGGCTTAGGGTTTATTAATAGAAAAGAGACAATTGCTTGGCCTATTAAACAGTGTACTGAGTACTATCTATGTTTCGAGTCAAGTTCTTTAACAAATTTAAAAATCAATAAAGTAACAAAAACTATAAAACACAAAAAACCACAATCATCACGAAGCTCGCTAAAACATTCACTAATATTCGTGGTCTTATCATTCACTAATATTCGTGGTCTTCCAAGTAACTTTTTTTCTGTTGAGTCTTATCTCTTGCAAAGTTCACCAGACCTACTTGCTCTTTGTTAGACTAATTTGAGTTCAGCTGTCTCATCTTGTGACCTTAGTGTTGATGGTTATCTTCCATTAATTCGTAAAGACTCCAATAGTCACATGCTTGGCCTGGGCATTTACATTCGTAAGAATTTACCCATTTGTCGGGAAACTAGGTTTGAATCCACAGACTACTCTTTTATGTGCTTTCATTTAGCACCACTTCACTTTATCACCTTTCTCTTTGTTCTATATCGCTCTCCCTCATCTCAAGGCTGCACTCTTCTTGATGTTATTTCTGATTATATTGACCAAGCCCTCATTCTTTATCCATCAGCCAATATTGTTGTTGTCAGTGACTTTAATGTTTATCACACTGAATGGCTTGGCTCTAGTGTCAGTGACTCCGCAGGCATTAAGGCCCACAACTTTTGTCTTTCTCAATCCCAAACTCAAATAGTCAACTTTCCAACTTGCTTTTCAGACAACCCGAATCATTTACCTTCTCTACTCGACTTATGTCTTGTTTCTGATCATAGTCAGTACTCAGTTTCTTCACACTCACCCTTAGGTGCTTCTGATCATGGTTTGGTATCTCTAAAACTATTATCTCATTCTTCTTTACCATCAGAATCCCCCTATCATTGTACATCTTACAACTACCTTAAAGCTGACTGGGACTCTTTCCGTGATTTTCTTTGTGATGGCCCCTGGGTAGAAATCTTTCGTCTCCCTGTTGACAAATGTGCTTCTTACATAACTTCGTGGATTCAGGCTGGCATGGAATCCTTTATTCCCTCTCGACGACTCCAGGTCAAGCCTCACTCTTCTCCATGGTTTTCCTCACATTGTCAATCGAAACCATTACTTCCATATCTATCTGCAAAACAGTTATCCAGAAAATAGACGTCCGTTTATTACTGCTAGGAACCATTGTAAAAAAGTTTTGTCTAATGCCAAAGCCCGCCATTCTCAGATCATGAAATCTCATATTTCATCACAAAAATTTGGCTCTTGTGACTTCTGGAGAATCTTTAATAGTATCAATAATAAGGGCAAGTCTGTAATTCCACCTCTTTTGTATGGTTCAGACTTTGTCACCTCACCTAAAGACAAAGCTGAATTGTTTGCCAAGAACTTTTCATCAATATTATCTCTTGATGCCACTAGTTGCGTTCTACCTGATATAGCCGTCAAACAGGTTGATCCATTGCTCGACATTCGTATCACTCCAGCTTCTGTATCTAAAGTAATTTCCTGCTAAGACTCTTCTACAGTTTGCGGCCCGGACAACATACCTGTTATAGTCTTGCAGAAGTGTTCTCAGGAGCTGTCGTCTATCCTTTCAAAACTATTCAACAAGTGCTTATCAGAGTCTTGTTTTCCAGCCTGCTGGAAAGCAGCATCTGTTATCCCTATTTTTAAAAATTGATTGCTTGCAGGGGGCATCTGAGCTTGAAAAGGATCTCACTTCTGCTACAGCATGGGGCTCACAGTGGCTGGTGAACTTTAATTCAGATAAAACTCAATTTGTTTCAGTCAATCTTTATCGCAATAATTTAGACCTTCTTATATTTATGAATGGTAATGTACTCGATGAGTCTCCTACCCTTTATCTTCTAGGATTAACTCTTACTTCTGATCTTTCTTGGAAACCTTATATCAAACCCGTTGCAAAATTAGCATCTGCTAAAGTCGCTTCTCTTTATCGAGCTCGTCACTTTCTTACTCTGGATTCTATTCTCTATCTCTATAAATCTCAAATCCGACCTTGTATGGAATACTGTTGCCATATCTGGGGCGGATCTTCTAATGAGGCCCTTTGTCTTTTAGACAAGGTGCAAAAGTGCATTGTTAACATAGTTTGACCTGCTCTTGTAGCCAACCTTCAACCTCTGTCACATTGTCGTAATGTTGCTTCTCTTTCTCTTTTCTACAAATACTATAATGGGCACTGCTTGAAAGAGCTAGCGTCTCTTGTGCTATCTACTAAAATTCATTCTCGTCATTCAATTAAGTCTCATCCTTTTTCAGTTACTGCTCCTAAGTGCTCCAAAAACTCTTATTCGTCTAGTTTTTTTCCTCGAACATCAGTTCTTTGGAATTCGCTTCCTTCATTTTGCTTTCCTGATTCATATAATTTGTAATCTTTTAAGTCATCTGTCAATTGTTATCTTGCTCTACAATCTTCATCTTTTCTCTTCCAGTAACTTCCAACACTAATTAGTGGTTGCTTGCAGCCTTGTTGGATGCGAAGATAATTTAAAAAAAAAAAAAGATGCTGTCCATCTTTGTATTTAGGTGTTTTTTCATGTTTACGGTACTTAATGTTCATTTTTGGCTAATTGTGTACAAATTGATTTTTTTGAACAATGTTGAAATTATGTGTTATTTAGTTTTCTTTGACTTACACCTTTTCAATTGTTGGTTAACCTGCAATGTTTTGCATTTTTTACTTAAGTCCACGATGATGGGCGTCCAGAATTTTTTGTAACTTTTAAACACTGTCCTCTAAGTTGTTGATTGATATAATTATATGCTGTTTTGTGACAGATTCCTTCTTTAATAAAATGGTTAGCAGCTTCAGCTTTGGTAGCTTTGGTATTTTTAAAAAAATATTTTTTGACATTATTTTGAAGAACTGCTCTTTCTTTGTCGTTTAACATTTTTTAAAAATAAAACTAGAATATTTAAAAATACAAATTATATTCGAATGCTAAAATATAATATTATGGATTTCAACCAAATTGAAGTTAACTTTTGTGTAACTAATTTCTCCTCACCCATTATATATATTCATTCATACATGCATTTTATAATTTTACAAATGTACTACTTTAAATCTTTTTTTAGCACTATGAATCAATAAAAAGATACATACAACGTGGTTCTATGTTTATTGATGTAATGATGCATCAACCTGATCAACCTGTACGATCACATATGGATGCCCTACAAGCCTTCTGGCCTGGATTACTTGTAAATGATTATCTTTTTTTAATATATTTTTTAAATATTATAAATTTTTCAATAAGCAGCAAAAAATGGTGTTTGTATTTATTATTAGGAGTTATTATTTTTTATTTCTAGAACTCTATGATTAAGTAAATTATAGTTAAAGAAGTCGAATACTTTTATTGTAAAAAAATGTTATAATTGATTCTCTTAATGGTTGGTCGAGGTTTGTTGTTACAAAGTTTAAAACTAATATCAAATTAAAGAACTTTTTTGTTTAGACAGATATTGCTATTTGTTCATTATTTTGAGCATTTACACAGGCATTAAAATTGTTTTTTTTATGTGAAATATATTTCATGTTTCACTTAAATAACAATTTCTTACGTGAAATATTAAAAAAATATATTTTATTTTACTGTCTGCAGGTTATATGAGTTGGGAGTTACAAAAAAGAAAAGTCACAGTAAATGCACATTTTCTAAAGGGCATCTCACATAAGTTTGAATTTCTATAAGTAAAACAAAAGATAATTTGAATAGTTAAGTAGTATTTGTAGAAGAAAAAAAAGAGACACAATTTTGCCAAACTGTGGCAGAGGCTTTTGTTTGCTAGCTAATTAGAGTCAAATTTGTTCATAATGCATTTTTTTTTTAAACCCCTTAACTGTGTCTGATGGATATATCCATTACTGCAAGGTGTCTCTTTGTGTCTAATGGAAAATAGCTAGTGAAACTTTTTTTTTTTTTAATAAAACTCTTACAATTTTTGGCACACTATACAGAAAAAAAAATTAACGACTTGATATATTTTTAAACAAATATATTTTGCTGTAATAGAGAATGTAACTTTTAAATCTACACCACAGTTAAGGTGTTAAACAGAAAGGTGCAAAAATTTTAAAAAGACCCAGCCGAAATCATTGAAAAAACTTGAAATGGCAACAGTCTTATATACAAAAAAATTAGAGGAAACCTTAGTAGTGATAATTTTACAATAGTTTTTCATGACAAATAAGTAGTAATAGATAGATAACTTTACATTACAATCCTTAGTATGAGTGTTGCTGTTTGTTGCTGATAGGAATATCGACTTTTTTGTCGATATTCCAGGCACTGCAACTCTCTGAGTGGTCACATTTAAGAAAATGATTAAAAAAAAAACTCACTTTCACTCGTCAAAATTTATTTTACTTTTGTTTAAAAAAAACAAAGCTAATTTTTATAGACATAAAGACAATACTCATTAATTTAATTTTTAATTAAAAAAATTATCAGTTAACACTTATAACTTCTTTAAAATTCTTTCTAAAGTAGTTATAAGAATAGTAAGACAATCTTATTATTTCAAACTGCTTTTACTTTTAATTGTTAAAATTTCATTAGATTTTTAATGAAATAACCAATGATAAATTATTTTTAGGTATTAAAAGGTGATTTACAATCTGCTATAGAAACTCATGAAATGTTATATTCAGTGGCAAAAAAGTTCAAGTTTTTACCAGAGGTAAAATCGTCCATTTGACTGTGTGTTTTATACATCCTTTAAAATGTTATATAATTTTTCAATTATAAAAAGTTATTACAAAGTTGTATTTTTTTAGTAGTGGCTAAAAATTATTATGTAGTTTTTTAAAAGTTAAACATTTATTTAACATGAAAATGAAGTATAAACATAAAAGGTATTGTCACTTTTCTAAATTTCCGAGTCCTAAAAAGGTTTTCATATAAATAATAGTTGTAATTTGTAAAGTTTTAAAACTGAGATATCCCAAAAAGATTTTTTTGAGTTTTTTTCCATGGTAAAATAGATTGAGGAATGTTTGTTGTTGATATATGGTAAGATCAAATACACCTTTGAAGGGATAGGCTTTCTAAGAGGAACTAGCAAAAATATATAATCTGGTTTTACTCCATAAAATTTGATCTATTTTAAGCAAATTAGCAAGTTCTGATGATAATGGAGTACCCACAACAGGTAGAACCATGGTCATTTTATGGTCATTTGATTCTAGTATATGTTTCTGACCTACTGTATCATTAAAACCTAATATATACGTGTGTGTCTATATATATATATATATATATATATATATATATATATATATATATATATATATATATATATATATATATATATTTCTAGATTCATAGATATAAGTATTTGAAGATAAGATGTAAAATTTGAAATTTTATTGTTTTTTAGAGTTGTGATATTAAACTTTGTAGTATAATAAAAAAAAAAAAATTTAATTATTTTAATTTTTTTTATTTTTTAAGATAAAATGACTTACTATTATACTAAAAGATAAAAAGATAAAATAAAATGACTTACTGTTAATCTTTATAATAAAAAACTATTTTAGTCATTATTAAATACTTCTAAAGCAAAAAAATATATTTAGATTAAATTAGATGTATAATTTTCATGAATATAAATGCAAACATATAAATAATATAAAAATTGACTTGAATTTAATCACCTTAAATAAACTAACAAGCAAACAAAAAAAAGTATGAAAAAGTAACTTTTTAAACATAAGCAAAGCTCAGTACTTTTATTTCACAAAAAATATGAACAAAAATTTTCCTGAAAAGTTATTATTGCAAATGTTGTCAAAATAATAAATCAACTGTGTAATATTTGTGTGCATTTACTTAGAAAATAATGGATCATTATCTAAAATTATTTCTAAACTAAGTCAGTCAGTCAACTTTTTCTCAGGTTCTCAAATGTTACAAGAAATCTTTATTCATCAAATCCTTTAACCTTAATAACTTTTTTTTAGTATTTTTAGTCAACTGATAATATCATAAGTTGCTAAATATGAGTGGAATACATTTTCATCTTAATTCATCTTGAATGATATTTTGAAGTTGTTCATGATTTCTTTGTGTAATCTTAAATAATAAAATAAAATAAAAAAATAATAGAAAAAGCAACTTTTTATAAAATAATAATAATAAAATAATAAAAAAATGAAATAAACATTTAAGTTCTAAATAAAATAAAAAATAAATTACAGTGAAAAATAAAAACTGAACAGTTTTTTTTAATTCCTAATAAAACAGTTAAAATTAAGCAGCAAAATGTTCCATTTAAATTTCAAAATGAACCATTTATATGTATTGTAAATAAAACAAAAAAAATTAAAATGGAAGAATGAATGTGTTATTATAAATAAAATGAATAAAATAAAATTGTCACAACTTTTTTTTTCAAATTCATTTTTCAAATTTTTAAGCAAATGTTGACATTTGAAAGAAAATTTGGCAAACTCAGAATTTATTTTTTTGTAAGTTTTACGCTAAATGTTTGCAAGTTTTTTGAACCATATTTCAAATGATGCTGACTTATAACAGTTTTTATTTTTTTTTAAACGGTTTTTATTTTTCCTAATTCCGAGGGCTGTAATGTACATTATCTTAAAAAAATAGTTCTTTGCATTTTTAATCTATATTTAGACTAAAATGTATACAACTATTGCAAAATACAACTCCTAATTGGTTTAATGTATAAGTCGTCAATTATACATCAAACCAATTTTGTCAATTTTTACATTAAACCATTGTTTCACCATTAAATTTTTTAAATAGAGAATCATTTCATCAACTTATTTGTCCAAATATTGAAGAGACATTTTTGATGTTGGATTCAAATTCTAGCGGTCATTATTTGAATCCAATATCAAAAATGGTCTAAGAAAATGTTCATTTATTCTGATATAAACTCTTTTCTTTTGTCCCAGTTTTTTCTTTGTGCCAGAATTAAAAGCTGTAGTATCAAACACTATACTAAAAGTTTTAAACAACTTAACTTTACTTTAAAAATCAATTCTACGTTCACACTTGGTTTACATCTAGGCAAGGTATTGTAATGGAAGAAGTAACATTGCTAACTTTATTATTATTTTCACACTTGATTAAGGTACCTAAATGGTAATAAAGGTAATAAAAAATAACCATAAAAAATACATTAATTAAGTTGTTTTTGTTTTGAAAAAAAGATTTTAAATTTTTCTAAAATGATTTTAATACTCAAAGTTATTGTAACACAGGCATTTACTTCAAACTTTGATTTGCATTGGGCGCAACATCCACTGAGACCAGAATTCATCGAAAGCACTTATTTTTTATATCAAGTATTAAACCATTTTTTTTTTTATATTAAAATTTGTGTTCTAATTTTTTATGAATATTATATGTTATTTGCTTATATTATCCAGAATTTTGAGGCATTATTTATATTTTATTTTTATATTATTTTTAGACTTTCCTGTTTATATTATATTATGTAGTTTTTTTCTGTTGTTTTATATTATATTACATAGATATTACATTATAGGCAACAAAAGATGATTACTACTTGTATGCAGGTCGCCACGTACTTGAGACACTTGAAGAGCATGCAAGAGTACCATGTGGTTTTGCTGCACTAACTGATGTACGAACATTTCGTCATGAAGATAAGTATGTTGTTATATTCAGTTTTTAGCTTATTAAATAACAGAATATATCTTTTATTTAACATAATATTAATTTTTATTTGTAAATTAAAAAAATATATATTAAAAATATATCTTTATTATTTTTTGGTTATTTTACTTTCAACTCTTAATTCTTTTTTGTTAAATAAAGATTGCATATTTGATACATTTAAATATATATAATACATTCTATCACCAATTATATCCAATAATTATATCCAATAAATACCATGATATTCAGTATTGATCTTGAGTGTTGATCTTTAGATAAAAAAAAAAATCGTACCCTTAATGAACTTAGTATATTGTTAATGAACTTAATTATAAATAATAAAACTTATTAAATATTTATAATTATAAATAATAAATAACTTATCATATATTTATGATTAATGAAGAGTCTTATAAATTGCAAAAAAATTATGCCATGTGTTTAATTGTTGAATTAAAAGGGTTTTTTTTGTTTTTGAGTTTTAAGTTAACACTTTGTAAAAGTTTTGGAACTTTTCTTTTGCTGCCAAAAATTAGTTTGTTATATTTGTAAACTTGGAATGTAGATTCCTGCTGTCAAACTTTTCAAAATTGTCAAACTTTGAAAACTTAAAGAAAAATAAAATAATAATGTAATGTTAAGTTGTCAAAAAACAAATATTGATAATGTAAATTAAAGAAAGTCTTTGTAAAGCTAATATCTATAAAAATGAGCTTAAATTTTTATGAAGCATTTATTAAGAAATTTTGTTTTTAGGATGGATTCCTTTGTTCTTGCAGAGACATTTAAGTATTTATACTTATTGTTTTCAACTGAAGCTGAACATCTCATTGACATCCATGATTATATTTTCACAACTGAAGCACATCTTTTACCGCTACATCTTTCTTCAATTCCAAATGATCGTCAACTTTCATCAACCAAAATGCCATATGTAAACTAAATTTTGCGTTTATATATAAATAAAGTTTTATATTTTTATGTAAACTTCACACATGTGTGTGTGTGTGTTTATATATGTGTATATGGTGTATATATGTCTGTGTTTTTCAAAAAATACAATTTTTTCAAAAAAAAAAAAAAATTTAAATAAAAGAATAAAATAAAAAAAGAAATAAAGTTTTGCTTAAATTGAAGTAACTTGAACCTAAACCTTTAATTGATGCCTTACAGATGGTTGTTTTAGTTTTATATCACCAACACCATTTTATGTAAGGCTATGTGCATATATATATATATATATATATATATATATATATATATATATATATATATATATATATATATATATATATATATATATGTATATACACACATATATATACAAACATATCAGTGACGTATCCAGAAATTTTTTGGGCATACCAGTCTAAATATCCTGTTTGGAAGACACTTTTTTTTTTTAGAAAATAAATATATATGAAGAAAGAATATATTTAATATATCTCACCCTAATATTACACTCTAGCAATTGCGTAAATTGTTTTAAATGACGTTTTTTGAAATAAAAATATAAATAATATTGGTGACTTGAGTGTTAACATCGATTTGCTGCTAATTTTCATTTATATGCTTTATTTGCTAATATAAATTACAAAATCAAATTTATTTCTCTATTGCTTTTCCCATGAGTACCCTTTATTGCCGGTACTCGCATGAGAAGCGTTATAACTCTAACATTTAATAAACAATTTGTATATATTTCTTTCAAATAGACTAAAAACTAATGAATTTGTATGAATTTTTTTTGTGGCTCCTACAAAAAGTCTTTGGTTAACCCATATTACTTAAGTTAAACATATTATATTAATTCATTCATAACACAAGCATAGCAAGGTCATTAATTCATTCTAAAGTTAATAGCTTTTCTTTTTAAAATGTATGAGAAAGCTCTAACTTTGTAAAGCAAGTTTTTTGGCGTGATTGTCATGTTATTATATTTTAAAAAAACTTTAATTTATTCATTTTATTAAAATCGTTTATTTACATTTTTTCTGCAATTTTACTTTAATTTAAAATGAGTTTAAAGCTTAAAGAGTTTAGTTACATTGTCAAATAAACAAAGACGTAAGTGACTTGTTTTAAGAAACTCATTATGTGTTTTTTAAAACAAGTTAATGTTTTTATTAAAGGAATTATAAAAATATAAAATGCTAAACAATTCGTATTTTATTCCTATCAAAACGGGTGTTTTACATTTTATTCCAACTGTAAAATATTACATATTTCATCCATGTGAATTCGAACTAAGTATACTGATTGACAATAAATACATTTATAATTGTTTGCAAATGTTGCTTTTTCTAAACGACAATTACAATTTTGTAATTAACATAACAAATTTTTTCATAACCAAACAACAAGTGATAAAGAATTGTTTTGTTTTATTTTTTTTATGATAAACTTGGTGCTAATATAAAATTGTTTTAAATTGAGGTTGGGCAGAAATTTGGGAACCCATACCCTGTATACTAGATACGTCACTACATATACACATATATATACACACATATTTAATTATGTTTTATTATGTTTTTTGTTTTCTTTTATTGAAGAATCATGATCGAAAAGAAAAACCAATTCAGGAAGATACATGTCCAAATATAGTTCATTCCTACTTGAATTTACGTTCATTTGCAGAAAGTATTAGAGATAATGTTAAAAAAAGTCCATCAGACCAATCTATTAAAACAAGCTGTAAACCAATACAACCAGAGAATTCGTCACAGTCAACAGTCTCATTTGTTTTTGACTTAGGAAAGGCAAAGTTGGCATTTACAGGGTCAGTTGTATTATAAACATGTTTATGTATTTATATATATATATATATATATATATATATATATATATATATATATATATATATATATATATATATATATATATATATATATATATATATATATATATATATATATATATATTTTTTGGTCTTTAAATATTGGTTTATTTTAAATGAGAAATGTTATCCAAATAAATGACTGAACAAATGCAAAGTTTATACTAATTTTGAAACCTCTTTACTGAACAAGAAAAAGTACTATAAAACTGGTATAAACAACATAAAACTGACAGATAGACAGAACAAACCAGCATATTGATAACCTAAATATAATTCTTTATAAAAATAAAGTTGTTTGATGGCAAGCTAGTGTAATATGAAAAGTCTCTATGCACTAATTGTATAAATAAAAATCAAATAACAGAGTTAATTTTTAATGAAAAAGAAGTTCAGTTTTCATAATAATATTTCATAACAGGTGTATAGATACATCAATACAGATTTAGCAATCTGGAAGTTATTTTGTTATGTTATTATATATTAATATAATAAAACTGTTATTCACTTTTCAGCCAAAGAAAACTTCGTGCAGAAGAATTTCAAATTGGTAATGAAGAACATGTGAAAATATTAAGACAGCTAGGAATTTTAGTTGTCAGTAGTGAAAATGGAAAAGTTCAACTAGTACAGCAAGCAGGAACAGTATGTTTTAAAAGATGATTGTTTTCTTTTTGTATACTATTATTTTATAAGTAATTTTGTAAGTTATAAGTTTATTTAAATTAATCTAAATAAAGATTTAATAGAGTAAAATGGGGCCCAAATAGTTTTATTTTTTTAACTGCAAAAATATATATATATTTTTGAATTAATAGAGAATTTTAAGCTGTATATAAATTTTTAAAAATCAAAAAGAAAAAATATTTTTTTTCAAAAAAAAAAAAAAAAACTATAAAAATTAAATAAATAATTGAGTTGTTCAAAAATTCTGTTTTTCTTTTTTTATTTATATAACTAGTTCACTCCCATCAAAGCTGCAAGCAACCACTGTTTAAGTTTGGAGTTACAGAAACAAAAAACAGTAAAGTTAAAGACCAAGAAAGCCATTGACAGAAGACTTGTAAAAAACTGTAAAATTGTAAGCCTCAGCAAAACATGAAGATGTGAATTCCAAAGCAAAAAAGCTTAATGAATAAACATTCTTAAAGCACAAAGTAACAGATAAAGTAAAAGATGTAGCTTTGCTGAATGACAAGTCACACTAGATTAAGTTTTGGTTGGTGGAACAAAAGATGATAGTTTGTTTGAGCAGCAACCATGGTAGTATTTGTAGAAAAGAGAAAGAGATGCAACCTTACAATTATAGGACAAGTTTGGAAGCAGAGCAGCTAGAGCAGGTCCAACTACATTTACAATAAGTTTTTGGATCTTGTCTAGAAAAGGACATCATTAGAAAAACCAGCTCAAATGTGATATCAGTATTCCATAGATAGATGAATAACAAGTAATCAATAAACAAATAAGAAACTAAGGACCATAATAAAAAAAGGCAACCTTAGCAAATGCTAGTTTGCAATGGATTGTGCATATGGTTTTCATGAGAGATTAGTAACGAATGATAATCTGAGAAGATATAAAGTAGATGACTCATTATTAGATGACTTAGCCATTCATTTATATAGAAATATTAACAATACTTTGATAATTAGTAAACAACTGAGTTTTGTTTGGATTAATTTCACCAACCACTTCAAGCTCTGAGCTGAAGAGAAATACAGAAGAAATACAGAATAAAAAAAGAAGAAATACAGAAGAGAGATCACACAATTTGTCATAACCATGCTTTCTTTTTATCTTAAAATATAATTATGGTCTAATCAGGGATGCAGAGTCTCAAAAAGGACTCTGAATTTAAAAGTCACAAAAAGATTACTTTATCCTAGTTTTAGGTATAAAAATGTATTTTTATACCTATTTTAGGTATTAAGAGGAACAATCAAATTTTGAACATGGATTCCTTAGGTATAATGGCGGCAAGGACTCTAATATTACAAGCTTAAAAACAATAAGTTCTAAGTCATCAAATCTCATAATTTTTTTTCTCATAGCAGATCATAAATCAACCAACATTTTTAGAGCTTCTGGACACCAGAGACCATGAAAACATAAAATACTGGGGTCCCCCAAGCAGATTTAATAAACAGGAGACACCATAGTATATACTTAATATAAAATGTGCTGAAGCTAGTTTTGAAAGTCGCCATCTTCGTTAACCCAAAACATTGTAATGTTTTGCGCGAAACTTTATATTTTTAGTAGAAAACTTTCCTCAAATCAAGTCAAAACATTGATATAATTGTTTGAATAATTTGCCAGTTGTTTCCGAGGTTGTCTTATACTACTAAGAATTGTTTGCTAACTGATTATCGGGTTCAGTTCATTCCAAAATATTGGAAAACTGAAGTAGACATTCAGATAGTAAACATGCTATTAGCAGATGCCATGTTTTACATAGTGTGAACATCTTATGGAATAAAAAAAAATGTTTGTGAGTTTTTTATTAAATGTCAACAAAATTAAATGCAAACATAAATAAAAACAAATACATTCAATATATATATCTTTTTTTCAAATGAGGAATAGAAGTTTTCACTGAGCAGTTTTCAACTTTTGTCAAATATTGATATTTGATTTTTTATCTTATTAGTCAATATTTTATCGAGTATGTTTTAATTGTATATATCATTGTTTTGAAGAGTTTTTTTATGTAGCTTAATGTACCTATTAAAAGTAATGCCATCAGCACGATAGCTTGCAGTACATCCATAGGCAAAACAAGCCATGTAAATATATATATATATATATATATATATATATATATATATATATATATATATATATATATATATATATATATATATATATGTATATATATATATATATATATATATATATATATATATATATATATATATATATTTATATATATATATATATATATATATATATATATATATATATATATATATATATATATATATATATATATATATATATATATATATATATATATATATATATATATATATATATATATATATATATATATATATATATATATATATATATATATATATATATAAAACCACAAACATGTAAATATATATTTATTTTGAATTGTTTAAATATAGGTAAAAACTCACTAACATATGGTTTTATTTTCTGAAAAATCTTTTATATTAGAGTATTGTCTAATCACTAAATAAAAAATTAATTCATAGAACTAAATAAAAAATTAATTCATAGAACCTATAAAAATAAGGATTATATATTGTGTATTAAATTTTTTCAATTTTTTTTTTTTTTTTTGTGAAAAAGTTAAGAACGACAAAGAATTTTTTGTGCTAAATGTGGTGAAAACGACTTTTTTTTAATTGATTTTTACTTTTTTATTTAAATATTCTACTAATGACCTGAGTCATTACCAAAAAACCAAAAGTATTAAATAAAAGTATTTAGTTTCAAACAAACAAAAAAATCTTTTCTTTTGAAAAAATGAGCAGAAAAGCTCTTACCTATGAAGACTGTGTAAAAGTAGTGCATTTTTACCAGGAAGGTAAAACACTCATCAAATTGGAAAAATGATAAAACGATCACATGGTTTGTTGCTAATAATCATCAAAAGATTCAGAGAGACAAAATCTTACATTGATTGCCATCATTCTGGAAGACCGCGTTTGACGACACCCAATGATGGTTGCCTTTTAATCAGGTTGGCAAAGAAAAATAGAACTATGTCGTCCCATGAACTAAGAAGGGACGTCAAGCATCGGCATCACTTGTGCTTAGGAAACTAATAGCTAACAATATGTTATGGAAAAAAGCTGTTTTAAAACTGCGACTTACCAAACAACGTATAAAAAAGTTAAAAGAATTTTGCTAAAGTATCAATGAATGGTCTACAGAAAAATAGAGGACAGTAATGTTCAGTGATGAGATGAATATTGAGGTTGATAATCGAAAAAACCAAATTATGATTTGCAGGCAGCCTTCAGAAAAATATAATCTCGATTGTATCATTCAAAGAACAAAACAAGGTAGCGGGTCGGTTGGAATATGATGCTGCATGACATACTATGGTCTCGGTATGTTTAAATTATTTGACGGTCGACTTGACTCTATTTATTACGTTGATATTTTAAATAACAACTTGTTACCATCAATTGATGCAATCGAGCAAAGCGTTCTATTCATTTTTCAGCAAGACGATGCACCATGTCACAGGGTTAAAATCGTCTCTGAATGGTTCGAAAGCAAAAATATTGAGCGTCTAACTTTATGCCACCAAATAACTCAGATCTAAATTGCATTGAAAATCTTCGGAGTTGGCTTGATAAACAGATTGCCAAGAAAGCACCAAGGAGCCTTGAGGAGTTGCAAAATATTTTACCAACAATACTTGGAAATATCCCCAAACATATTTAAGAGAATTTAATAGACTCAATGCTAAATCATATATATAGTGCTTAAAAATTCATGGTAGAATTACGTGATATTAGGTAAAAATTACCGTTTTTTGCTCTGTGGTTTTTAAACTTTTTCACAATTTTTTTAAAATAAAAATTACCTACAAAACTTTAAAGGGATTCTAACTGACAAGACAAGTTGTGTTCATATTAAAGAAAATATTTAAAAAAAATATTTGGACTAAGTTTTTTTAATTAAAACTAAATAATGAATGCACACCATTAATTTTAAAATTCACACTTTAGTCGAATCTCGTCATCTCCATTTTTTTTTGGTTCTTGGAGTCTGTATGTTAGCCGCAATTGCAGACTTGATAATTTATTCCATGTGTGTTGAATCCGTAACAGTGTCGGTAGATGACATCATCATATAAATTTTTTGCTTCCAAGATATCTTTTTTTTTTTTGCCACAATCACCAAATCATGTTAATTGAATATAACTTTTTACTAAATCCCAAAAAAAAGTTTCTCATACAATTAAAAATTAAATTTATAAAAGTTATAAAAATAAAAATTTAATATATAACAAATATTTACAGTAAAAGGTACTGGTTTAAACTAAATATAAACTAAATACTAAAAGAATAATTTTACTAAAGTGTATAAATCAATTTAAACTAAATAAAAAATGAGCGACTTGAATAAAACATTTAAAATGAACTTAGTAGAAAATAAATTATTTTACTAATAAATGTACAAATCAAACTAAATTAAAGTTAAAACAAATATTTGTATAGTTATAGTATAATAGTTATAATATAAATATAAAAATAAAAAATGGCATTAACTTGTTCGCTACCAGCCGAACAAAAATCTTTTTTTAGCAACTGCACTTTTTTTTTTGAATAAAATTTGAATTGTATAACATTGGCAATTAAAATTCGACAATAATAAAGTTTTTAACACGCATCATCAAACTATAAGAAATTCAAAGTGCTTAAAACTATTGTTTTTATAAGTAGTAACTAAAACATTAAGTCCGAACAAACCTCATTTAATGAATAAAAAGTATATTTTTTCTTCAAAATACTTTGGTAATTACTTAACTAAATAGTTAACACTTCTACAAGTTTTACAAGTGTTAGCGCTGTTTTACTTTATAACTAAATTTAAAAAAGTTTTTTATATGAAGGTTTATTCAAGATTTTTAAACTTTGCGATAACTTTTTTATAATTACACAATATAAATTTATTTTTTTATTATTTTTTTTTTTTTACCAGAAAAATATATTTGACTAAATAAAAGTTTAAAAATAAAAATAAATTATGATTTGTTTTTTGGTGGTTCTTAAATTTTTCACAAAACTGTATCTGAAATACAATATCTTCTAGTATCGTGTTGAAATACAGCTATTTGAATGTCTATTTCAGTATTCCGAATATTATTAGAATAAACTGAAAAAGGTAATCAGGTAACAAATGATTCTTCATAAGATAGTTAAGCTCCCAAGCATAAACTGACGAATAATTCAATCATTTGGTGCAACCTTTTGACTAGATTTTGATAAAGTTTTTAGTAAAATTTTAAAGTCCGTGAAATGTTTTGGGTTAACTAAGATGGCAGTTATTTTAAAAACTGACTTCAAAATGTCACATGACACCATCTCCTGTTTATTAAACCTCATTGGGGACCTCGCATCATTTTATATTTGTTATAAAAAATCATCTTCTTTGTAATGTATAAGTAACTTATCTTTTAGTTTTATACTTTATTGTCCTTCCTACTCAAAAAATTTTAATTTAGTGAGCTTGGATAATGCATTCATTTTTTTTTTTTTTTGTTTAATTTTTAGGCTGCTTCAGTGCAGGATGCTCAAGAGGGGATTGTGTTTATGCAAGAAATGATACAACTAGCGAAAGAAAAAGGTGCAACTGGTAAGTGAAGCTTTTGTTGCTTTTAAACATTTTTCAAGTTTAAAATTGCATATTGCATATTTAATCCTATTATAGCTGATATCCAACCAAGTGTTGTCCAAATATTAAATGGCGGCAAAGTTGTAAAGCAGTTTAATGCAGGATCAGCTCAGTTTGGTGCTGATCTTACTAAACTTAGCACAGGGGTAGTCTTTTTTTTTTTTTTTTTTAAAAAAAACTTAATTTTTTTTTAAAGACTTTTTTTTATTTAGAAATTTTATTTTTTAAGTTTTATAAGACCTTTCCTCTTGTTTAATTGCTTTTTTAATAGTTAAATGTCTTACAATGTAACATAGGTGTCTGGAGAGGCAATAGAAACTGAACCTTTCAGAGCATGTAAAGAAATACGAAACACTGATCAGATTACAAATCGCATTGCTGTTATAGAGCGTTCTGAATGTATGTTTATAGACAAGGTATTTTTTTTATTGATATTTGTATGCTTGGTTTATTATATTTATATAATTATATGCAATATATGGGGTTTAAAGATAGAAATGTTTATAATTTTATGCTAAAAATAACTACACATGCAGACCAAGAATGTTTATTAAATAAAAATTGGAATTGACATCTAAAGATTGCAGACATAAAAATAAGTTTTTCCTAAAAAAAACTATAAAAGTAAGTGAACTAATAAAATCATAATAAAAAATCTCCATTAAAAATATCAACTTTAGGAAGTAATGTGTAAAAAAAGAAAAATGGTTATTGTAACTTTAAAGAATAAAATGCTAAAGTTGATTGAGAATTGAAAATTCTCTCTATATAATAAAAATATTTTGCTTTTGTCCCATATTAGATCATGAAAAAACTATATATAGATTAGATCTTTAAAAGATGGTTATTTTTAATCAATTTAAGTTTTCAAAAATAGTTTATATTATTTTGCTCTTTGTATTTTATGTCACTATAATTTTTTTTGTTAAACATGAAAGTTAAATTAAATTTTAATTTAGTATTGAAATATATAGTCAAGAAAATGATAAAATTTTCTTGACTATATCAATAAAAGACACAATTTAATATCTATTACCTTGGAAAATAAAGGAATCTAAAATGTCTTTCTTGGACTTGAATATAAAAAGTTCCTTATGTACTTCCATTTTTCATAAGGAAACGCATTCAGGCCTTCATAAAATCCTTTTGTAGTTTTATCTCTTTTTTACACAAGGTAAGTTTAATTAAATGCTTAATTAATAGAATCTTTGAAATTAAACTAAACTTTTTACTATGATATTAATAATCTTTTTAACATTCTCAAAAGGAAGATGTATCTGTCTTGGCTTATAAATACCAGATAAACACCAGACCACTACCAAAAAAACTTTCTACCATCAATATGAATCCAAAAACCAAAAAGTCATTAGAAACTACTTTAAATTTTTTTATGTTGGTAATAAATATGTTCAAACCAAAAAGAGTTTAAACTCTATCATTTAAAAACATTGTAAACATTATTTGATTTTTACCTCTTTCAAAGTTTCTAATGTTTTTGCCAAAGGATCCTCTTCATGTAGAGTTCAAATCATTAATTGTTTAAAAACTTGTATGCGCAGATGTAATTCCTGTTATATAGACGAAACTTCTTGTCACCTTAAAACACAAATGATTGAACACAAGAGAGACAAAAACTCTTACATATATAAACATCTCCATGCTAACAATTGTTTTAATAATTATAATAATGAATGTTTCTCAATATTGGATTCTGCCTCCAATAAATTCAGGCTTAAAATTTAGGAAAGTTTGTTGATTAAATGGAAAAATCCAGATAAAAACAAGCATTTAAACCATTATAAGATTTTCTTTTTCACATAGTAGTTACCATTTCATAAGTCATTAACTTTTTGTTAAATAATTTAATATCTTTTTTATTGTACTTTTTATGTTGCCTATTTTGTCATAATTAACAAAAAAATTATAACTTATATTTTATTACTGTAGAATATTTGTATATAAAATTAAATAAGTTTTTTAAACCCAATTGAAGATGACTATAAAGTAGTTGAAACATGTATTGTTGTTTTATTTGTTAAAAAATATGGTTTTTATTAATAAGTTGAAAAAATTTGTATTATTTCTCAATTGTTTTACCTATCTTGTGCAAAAAAGAAATTTTGGAAACATTAAATTTTTATAAAACATTAAATTTTTATAATTTTACATTAAAGTTTATGTACTAAAAGTTTGTGCAGTCATTTCTTCTATCCTATTATTTTAGGTTCGACTTGCACAATTGCATGGAGCTAAAGCAGTTGTTATAATTGATCATGTAGAAGGCAGCACTTCTGCTAGTTCACAGTTGTTTGGAATGAGTGGTGATAGCAATAGTAATGATGTTACTATACCTTCTGTGTTTCTTTATAAAAAAGAAGGTGATGAATTACGATCATTAATGAAACAATCAGAAAATACTAAAATTGAAATTAAAATTGCTCACAAAAAGTCAGGTAAGAATTATATATATATATATATATATATATATATATATATATATATATATATATATATATATATATATATATATATATATATATATATATATATATATATATCTGTGTGTGTTTATTTAAATGGTTAATTGAAGACTTAAAAAGTTGTAGATTGTATAAGGTAAACATAAAGAGGGTTAGAGTTTTGAGGTTTTGTTGATGTGCAAGGAAAAAAAACTAGATTGATAAAAAATTTCATATCATTAAGGAACAGATACAGTAAAAGGATGTGACTTTGCTGAATGACAAGTTAAACAAGAATTAGTTTTAATTGATCGAATTTTGGATGATAGCTCAATTTGAGCAACAAACATGATTGAAAGAAAACCAAGCTTACAACAAGGTAGAGAGGCTTAAGGTTGGAAGATAAAGCCAGTCCAGCTACATTTACAATCTGCTTTCGGACCTTGTTAAAGAGTGAAAGAGTTGTTATTCATCAATATAGGAATTTTAACAATATTGTTGTTTGCAGTAAATAACTAAGTTTTTTTGGAGTTAAATAATAAAAAAAGCCTCTGTTACAAAAAACCTCTGTTACAAAAAACCTCTGTTACAAAAAACCTCTGTTACAGAAAAGTGGTCTTAGTAAAGATTAGCTGCTTTTTCTAAGAGATCAAAAAGTGAAGACGTTTTTTACCTTAAATAATTATTCTTAATTTCCAGTCACCCCTAAAGTTACCAAAAATAAAGATGAAGAAGGAAATAAAGATGAGTAGAGGCCTTTGAGAATGACTTAAATACTGTGTTTAGAAAGAAATGATTAAATGACCTAAAAATCTTTAGAAAAAAAAAAATTAATAGAGAGAAGATTAATCGTAGAATAGTAAGAGAGGTCAGTGTGCTTTCTAAAGTTTTTTAAAATTGGAACCATTTATTTAGCATTTAATAATAGTTAAGTAAGAATTAAAGTTCTGGAGAACACTTTTGTAAAACTATGTTGGAAATGTTGTGTGAACCACAAGCCGTAGAAGAGTTTAATTGATGAGAACTTTAGCATCAAAAGCCAAAGTGATTTGAATGCCTAACAATGGGTTAATATGTTTATTTAGAATGGCAAGATAGTTATAGCCATTAGATTTAATAGTCAAGTTAGAGGAAAAGTTTTTTCTAACTAACTCTGCAGTAGCGCAATTAGGGGGGTTTCCATGGTACCCAGAAACCCCTTTTTAAATTGTTAAAAAAATTAAATTTTAGTAAATTTAAAAAAAAACAAAAACTATTAAGTATAAATGATAATAAATAATTTGAAATGAATATGAAAATGACTTTATGCCAAAAAGTAAATTTTTTTTTTTTTTTTTGTTATTCACCTCCTCAAGGCCGAGAAGGCCACTACAGACGAGGAGGCTACTTAATAGTGGTTATAACCCTCTCTCAACTCTATAACTCCGAAACACAAACCTTGACAAACAAGGTTGCTGCGCGGAGAAACAGTGCGGTACTACCAGGGACATTATGGGTAAATATATAATATACAAATATGCACGCTTTGAGTTTCACAAAGTAAAAACGAAAGGATTTATAAAATTGGAAACCCTTTTTCAGAAATCCTAATTGCGCCGCTGCTCTGCCTTATTTTGGGCAGAAGTAATATGATAAGAACTATGAATTAAAGTTTATTATTATTAGCTTCTTGAACCTAACATCTGAGATAATATACAGTGTATAATATAATATACAGTATCGAACATAAAGGAAGCAACATTTCTAATTTGTCAGATTGAATGAATAAGAACAATATATCGTCAACTATTTTACTAACAAAACATATTTTAAAAACATTTCAAGTCTAGTGAGTGTTAATGAAATTTTATCTTTACCATTTTTTGTAAGCGTACCTATCAGCTATTTTTTAAAGAGTTCAAGCAACAAAAACAAAGCAACATATGAAATATTTTGGGTATTTATGCTTTACTAAATATTTAAATAATATTTATGTTGTTTTTATTGAGTTAACATAGTTAAAGGTTAAAATATTTCAATTGAAATTAAAGAAAGAATTATAAGTGAATTATAATTATAAGAAATCAGAAAAAGATTAGGTGTTTCAAAATTTGTTTGTTTTTTTAAAAAAAAAAAAAGAAATGGTATTTAATGTAAAAAGTCATGGCAGGCAGAGAAAAACTTAAAAAAAAAGGTGACAAAAGGATACTTTCATTATTAGACCATTTTAAAACTGTTTCAAAATGAACGCAGAATTAGATAATGTGAATGTGTCTAACAGAACAATTCAGAGACGTCTTAGAAAGGCTAACTTATTTGCCAGCCAGTTAGCAAAAAAACTATTATTGAGTAAGAAAAATATAGATGCCAGAATGGTATTTGCGAGGCATCACGAGCACTGGATTGCAAGTTCTCTTCAATGACAAATCTAACTTTTCTATATTTGGAAGTGATGGAATTCTTTATGTAAGATGTCCTAAATAAGAAAGGCTCAATTTCAAATATGTATTACCAATAGTTAAGCATGGAGGCGGAAGTATTATGGTTTTGAGTTGTTTCTCTTGTCATGGTATTGGCCCAATTTATAGAATTAAAGGCATTATGAATAAGTACAAGTATGCTGCTATTTTGGAAGACATGTTACCATATGCAGAATGGAATATGGTGTTAAGATTTATTTTTCAACATCACAATGATCAAATAATTTTGCAATATTAATTAATATAGCTATATTGATTAATATGTTAGGGACTGATGATAAAAGTTCAAAATTTTATGCGTCCAATTTAAGATTAAATTTTAAATTGCACCCTCAATAATGCATCCAATGCGTCCATTTCAAAATTTCAAATTGAGATGCACACTCAACTGAATGTTTTTTTTGTGGCATGAACAGAAATTTATTGCAGAAATTTTTATTTATTTTATATAATTTTAATTTTTTTTTCTGCAAAATTAAACCCAAAAATTAGCCAAGTTTTAAAATTTAATTTATCTATTATTATTCTTATTTGCATGATTTTAGACGAAAAAGACTTATTGAATACTTTCTCTAGTGAAGAAATAAATCAAAATGCTGACAAGCCCAATGATGTTTCATACATGTCAGAAGTTTTTAAAAACAATATGATTCCTATAGGTGATCCTACTGAAGTCAGTTCAACTGTTGATGGAGTTTTGGTAAGATTTTTTTTATTGTAGGTTATAATTTTTTAATGATAAAAATGTTTTACAATAGGTGTTACAATAATTGTTATATTTGACATCTAGTAATTTGAGCATATCATCAATGACTGCTCTTTTATCTTTTAACTGATTATGTTGAGAATTTAATCTATTTTTTAAAAAAGTTAGAAAATGATTTTCATATTCTGTAATTGATTTATTTCTAACTATTTTGACTTTCTTTTTGGTAGAGAGGTTAAACAACTTATTTTTAGCTGAGATTTCCATAATACACATGTTTTAACTATATATATATATATATATATTTTGTATTTGTATATTTTTCCTTTTTTTTTTTTTTTTTTTTTTTTTTTCTTTTATTTTATTGCTTGTTTTTTGTTGTTGTTTTCACTTCCCCTGTTTTTTGCTTTACAACTGACTGTACTAGAAGTACTTTATTGGTATCTGCAGTTATAATCTCAATCCATCAGAATACTTTTTATTCTGATGAATTTTTAGAATTATTTTTCTAATAATATTTGTTTCTTTTAATCAAGTTTTAGCCAAATAAATTAACAACTACTAAGGTTTTTTATCCAAAAAACAACAAGCAAACTACTGATAACATAGTGTTGTCTAGTTGCAGTAATATCTATAGAGTTTTGAACTTTGAGTTAATATAAATCTAAATAAAGTAAGTGCATAACGATTTAGGTATTATAAGTAAAATAAAGTTTAAATAAGTTTTTTTTTTTTACTTTATAGTTTATATAGAATGATCACTTTGTTTTAATCAAGTATTGTCCATTGTTAGGTAAAACTTTTCCATATATTTTAGACAGCTTACAGATTCTGCATTGAAAAATTCTATTCTATTGATCCAAGAATGAGCCTTATTTTCGGCTAATTTATAAACAATGAAGTGCTGCATGGTCAGGCCATGTGGTACCAAAATACATGGTAGTCGGAAGAAGCAAGAGAATAAGAATCTGGAGAGGACAGTAGTGGGGTAGGACATCCAATTGAAGTGCTTTCAAAGTATCTTTGAGGATAACATGTGGTTTAGGGTTGTTGTACTGAAAAATGACTTTGTGTCTTCTGATAAGTAAAGGGCTTTTCATGCTTGGCTCAATAGATCAATTGTTGATGATAACACTCCCCAGTTAATTTTTTATTAGGTTGAAGTAGCTAATATATCACTCCAAGTTGATCCCATCAATTGTGCAGATTTTTTCCATGAATTACATTTGATCCCTTTAGGTTTATCTCATAATTATCTGTATTTTAGGTTAGGGGTCATCCATAAATTGTCATGTTTTGGGATGGGGGGGGTAGGGAGTTGTTGGCGATTTTGTGACAATTTGTTATAAGGGGAGAAGGGGTCTCCAATTTTGTGATGCAACATTTTTATTTTTAAGTTTTAAATCTAAAGAAGATATCCTTTTAATTATCTGACCAAACCACAACCCTCAGCTGATGTATCTTCATGTTGATTGTAAAATCAACTGCACCTAAATCTAAAACTATGTGATGTGTACACTCTTTTAATGGAATAGTTACAGCCTGTTAACGAACTGTTACAGCTCTAGGCGCAATGCGTTGCGCCTACGGTTATAACAGTCTATGTGCAGTGCACGTTCTGCGCTTTGACTTTATATGGTCTAAGTGCAGAACTTTATTTGTTGGTACACAAAAGTAAAAATAAATTTAAAAATTACGTCACCGAGAAACAAACTTCGAACCCTCAGTTTACTTGACGGAAGAAGATTCCACTCAGCCACACTAACATGACTAATAGTGAGAAAATTGTATTTATAAAATAATAATTTTACATTTTTATATCGGAAAAATAGCAATTTAAAATTGGGATAATGTTTAGGAAAGCAATGTTAATTTATACAGTTTTACACGGAATTATTAGGGTGAAAAAAAAATATTAAATAGATGAGTGACCTTATGGATGACCCCTTTATAGCAATAGACTATTTGTTCCTTGTCATGTCTTTTTGTAAAAATCCTTCTGACTATGTCCTTGTTATGTTTTTTTGTAAAAAGAAATTTTAAGCAGGTGTTTGTACCAAAAAGAATTTTTCTCTTTCCTTCACTTTCCTTGTTTTTGTACCATTTGTTAGGCTCCTTGTGGGTTTGGCATGAATCTTGGTATTTATGGTAATCCAGTAATGCTTTTTACTATTTTATTAACAATCACTTTGTGTTCTCTGTTGCTGTAGCTAGTGCTTACCATATTTTTATAAGAACACATTGATTTTAATAGAACACATTGCAGATACGGTTCTCATAGCAATTGATTTTCACCTTCTTTGCTTTTTTTATTTTTTTTATTCTAACATCTTCGCTTCCAACAAGGCTGCAAACAACCACTAATTAGTGTTGGAAGTTAAAACAAAGTTTTCAAATTGAAACAAAACTGTGTTTTGTTGGCATAAAGGTTGACTTGGTTAGAGCTCATAAAAAGTGTTATTTAGTCTTCAGCAACATGACACACTGGTTTTAGTGGGAAGTGATGACTTAAACTTGAGTATACTTATAATTACATATGGTTTGATGCCATATAACACTAGTTGAATTATTGTTTAAAAAAACTTTCCAAAATCTTTTTTTAAAGAGCTAACCTGATATTTTTTTATTCAAGTTTACAATAAATTTCTAATTAATTATTTTTAAGAAATTTAATTTTATTATTTTAAGAAATTTTAATCAAGCATCTTTAATTCTCTGTGTTTATTTATAATGCCGATTACAAACTATGGTAGGGGTGACCGGAGCTAGTTGCCTCAGTTTTTACTCTTTAAGGTCTGTAGCCCTAACGGCAAAATTTTTTGTAAATATTAAAGCGCAATCTTGAATAGTATATTTTATTAACATTTTTAACTTACATTCATTATTAAAAAAATTTTCTTAGGGCTTTTCTACAACCTCAAAAAAAAAAAATTGTTAGCCAACTTACCCCACCCCGGGGTAAGTTACCCCACCCCAGTGTAAGTGCAAAATATATAGAAATTTTTTTTACTATTTATTTTGGCAACAATTTTAAGCCAAAAGTTTAATATTACTTTTAGCTGGTACCAAATATTAGTACGTATAACAGCCAAAACAGTAGCCAACCTTTTATCTATGAAACAAATATATTTTAACCTAAAAAAAATTTTTTTTTGTAAAACTAAATTTTTTTTAATATTGTTAAAAATTAAAAAAAAGAAAAATTAATTTTATAAAAATATATATTTTTTTTCAATAGTAAATGCTATGAGCCAACTTACCCAATAAAAATTTTGCCATATTACCTTTAAAGTCTTTTTTTCAATAAACAGTATGTAAGTCCTGAAAAATGGCAAATAATGAAAAAAAGTCTGACTGGAAATAGTAAACCAATTGTAACTGGAGTTTTTACAATAACTTTTTTTTTTCATACGACTAACTATTTTCTTTATAAAATAAAAAAGAAGCGACTTTCCAAAAGTTACGTTTTTGTCCAAAAAAAAAAATAAATCCCAATATCTCCCATGCGCATGCGCGAATTCTAACAATACTATAGTGAATGATGAAATAATCAATTAGGAAGGTTCTATGTAATTTTTGTCACTTTCTAATGAAAAGCTCTGAAGATAAACGCAGTTCCTCAACTTACCCCTGCTGCCAACTAGCCCTGGTCTTCCCTATTATATATATATATATATATATATATATATATATATATATATATATATATATATATATATATATATATATATATATATATATATATATATATATATATATATATATAATAGGGAATATATATATATATATATATATATATATATATATATATATATATATATATATATATATATATATATATATATATATATATATATATATATATAAAAAATAGGGAATATATATATATATATATATATATATATATATATATATATATTATATATATATATACACCATAATCATACCTAGCCAATATTTACGCTATTCCATAAATCAGGTATGGCTGTCACATATTGAAAATTTAACAGGTCTCTAGTTTTATTAAAAAAAAAGGTTTTTAAAAACTATATGATGTTGGGTCTCAATTGAAATAAAATTTTTCAACAATATTAGGGATCAGTTAAATGCTCAAGGGTCTTATGTTACCCATAAAAATAATTTTAGTATTTTAAAATATTAAAAATATTATTTTTAATATTAAAAATTTTTAAACTCAGTGTTTATATATATATATATATATATATATATTATATATATATATATATATATATATATATATATATATATATATATATATATATATATATTATTGACCTAGACTACGATAACTACTAGAGACTTTATGAAGTTTGATTCCAATAACATTCTCAAAAAAATAACAGAAACGACAGAAAAAATATGTCCCACTTTACAGTGTGATGTTGGCGTACGTGTTCTTGTCAAAACTAAGGAAGAAGATTACTTTGACTTTAATAAAATTTTATCAAAAGAAACTGGGATGGAAGTTGGTACTGATCAAAATCAAGAAAGAAATTTAAAAGATTTTAGTAAAATTTTACACCAAACTTTAGGTGATTTTAAAGACAAAAAAATTAAGAACGAGTTTTTAGATAATGCCCTGGCTGAGCTTAAAATGATGGCTTCAGACGTACTTAGCAACATTGAGAAGTTGAAAAATGAAATACTTCATGACATAAAGCCAGTTAAAGAAGGAAATACCGATAGCTCGAAAATATTAGAACATGCAAAAGATAATGATTTAAATTCTCATATTGAAAAAAAACTGGCAGAGACTAAACTGGAGAGCGATGATGAGTTAACAAAGTTTCCTAGGACGAAAAATGGTGAAAATTAACTTTAGGCTACTAAATTTTTCTGTTATGGAGTCTTATTTATTTGCGTAGGTTTATTTATTGTTCTTTCTTACAATACAATATCTACTGATATTTTCATTTATGATTGGTTTTTATTGTATTTTTAAATTTTTAAATGGTGTTGCGAAACTTTTGGTTTTTTCCCCTCTCTTGCAAAAAATGATTTGATAGCAGCGAATTATATAAGAACTTTCAGCAATTTTTAACTCGTCTTTTTCAATTTATTTTTTAAGTGAAGAACTTCTGTTTTTGTTACTTGTCCTAATTTTGTGCTGTACTAAGTTTAATATAAAACGTAATTTATTAACTATGCATTTAGTAAATGATAATTCTATTTTTCTCTAATATAAATTTTTAATCTTTCTTGTTAATTGTATTTTGATATTTTTTACTATAAGATTTATTTAAAAGAAATTTTCACAAAATTAAAAACTTTAAACTTTTATTTTATTTTTAATTTTTTTTTGGTGATTTTTTTTTTTTTCTAGTCTATTGGGAAAAAGACTAAAAGGAAACCATATTACAAAAAATCCTTTAATTTTATTTTTTCAATTTCCAGTTCTAACATACTTTTACGTTGCCCATTGTTATATTCCTTACAATAAATGAAACTAAATAAATGTGAATGAATAAAACTCTGGAATGTATAAAAAAGTGTACTAAAAACATAACATAAAACATAAGAAGTGAAACATAAATTTACTCTAACTTAAAACTGAGTTATTAAGTAAAGTCTAAAAAAAATTTTGCTACTTCTGTATATTTAAAGAAAAACTTTATTTTCTCGTAATAAACAATTTAATATTTTGTTTAATTTTTGGTGAAGAAAAAATAAAGAAATATATTTTAAGAATTGATATATTTAATTTGGATTTACCTCTAGAATATAACATAAAAAATTCATTTATCTCAGTAACTCAACGTAAAAAATTCATTTTTTTAATGTATAATTTCGACTAATATAATACTTTAATTAACAATTAGTAAATATATATATATATATATATATATATATATATATATATATATATATATATATATATATATATATATATATATATATATATATATATATATATATATATATATATATATATATATATATATTAATTAATATATATATTATTATATTATAATATTAATATATATATTAATTGGGGCTGTTCAAATAATACGCGACAATTTGTTTTAGCGTTTATAGAGACTTTCTTCCCTTTGTGACGTTTTGTGGCATTTATAAGAACACCCCCTTTATCTCACCCCTGTATGATGTAATAAAGACAACAATTTCTGTTTAAGATCTAAATTTCTTCCCAAATCGGACTTTGACTTACATGTTTTGGAGTTCTATATTCTTCAATATTTATTGAAGGTCAGTTGAGGTCACACTGTTCTGATCATACCACTCAATTGTTTCTTTGTCTGAATTTAAAAAGATACTTATGAGTTCAGATAAACATTGAACAACTAGGCGGTGAGTTTTACTATTTGAGTATCACTCAAAAATCCAATACTTAAGCAAACTGTTTTGCGTTGTTTTATTGGTTTAACAGTTATAAAATATAGGTTACATTTTACACAAATTCTTTTTGGTGAAGAACTTTTAATGCTTTGACGTGAGTAGTCCTATACGGCAATCTTTGGAAAACTTCTTTGTAACTATCTTGGGCAAATTTGTTTTACTAAGTGATAAGTTTAAAAAGAGGCTCGCAAATTTGTTTTTTGTATTATTGCACTCAAGCCCTATTCTCCTTGGAACCAAAAAATTGGTGGAAGAAGAAGTTTTAGTTATTACATTTTACTAATTAAAGTAGTTTTTGACTTTCTCTAACATGTTTAGCATCCCACTCTAACTGATTTAACTGTTCACATTTTTCACTGTTTGGTTCTTAATAATCAGCTATAGTTTCAAATCTATCAATGACTTTTTAAACTCATTAATAGATTTGAAATTAATGCGCAGCATTTAACAAGTACTAAATAAAACATCTACAAAAAGTTAACTATAAAACTAAATATTTTCGACCGAAACTAATAAAACAAGATTTCAATTTAAGTTTACATATTTGTTTTATCTGTGTTTCATTAAAAACGGCACACTTTCAAATGTAGTTCAGACGTCTTTTGAACGTTTCACGCTGACCAAAAAAAATATTTTGGTTCCAGAAAGGTTGAGAACGTTCAGGACGTAAACTGAACGTACATCATACGTTTTTTGTATTTCATGAGATTTCTCTGCTTTATATGAAAAAGTAAAATTTATTTTTTTAAACTAGTTTTTGTCTCAATTTTTAAAATTCTTACCTTAGTAAAATGGAAAAGTTTCAAAAAAATAAACCTTAAACCCTCGAAAGTAAAATAAAATTTTAATAAGCTAAAAAATCATAAATTTTTTATTGATCAAAACTTTCTTTTGAAAACTGAATTTGCTAGTAACGAAAAAAATGTTATGAGCGAAAAATTGAGGATTTTGGGGGGAAAGTAAACATAAAAATAGCTTATAATTATGAATTAAGATGCCAATGCATTAACGCGGCAAAAATGTTATTATGGTTTCACAAAACGATAGAGTTGTAAATTAGGCTTTAGAGTAGCAGACAATATTTTGCCTCTCAGGGTTTCTTCTTTTGCTAAAACTATTTAGTCACTGTAAAAATAATTTCTCGAAGTAGATAGTCTCAAAGTATAAACAGTAACACTTTGTGGATTTATTTTATATAATTATATAAGTATTTTATATAATATATATTATTATAGAAATTGGATTTTTAGGCGGTCATTTGCGGTGTTTGGATCACTTTTATATTTGGTCTAAAATCACCTATCAAATCTAAAACACTGGCCAATCTCTATTTGGTAGATGAATCTAAACTACAAATTGCTCAAACATTTCTTGTACTATCCTAGCTTGTTTCAACAACTTATTCCAAGCCTGTTTCATTATTATCAACCCTTCATACATATCTATTTCATTATCACCAACCTAGCTTCACCATTTTCATCTGAGTTTGTTTCATCACCCTAATCCAGACAAAACTAATCTAGTGCAGCATTTAAAAAAAACTAACATCATTTTTAATATGGTTGTTAAACATTTAAGTTTTTTTTTTCAATCATTTAATTAAGCTTGATTTTTTTTAAATCCTAATTTAAATAACTTAAATAGTTTTTACTATTCCCTAATTATAAAAAGTAAACATTTTTATTAAGGAATCGTCCATAAATTACGCAACGCAAAAAATATTTTAAAAACAATAGTAGGAGATATTAAGCTCTTTTAGGAGGCGATTTTCATTTAACCTAACTTCCTATTTTGATTATTTATTTAAATTAAGACTCTGTTAAGGAAAACTATTGATTTTTGTTTTGTTTTGTTTATTGTGAAATTTTGCGTTACGTAATTTATGGACGATTCCTAAGAAAATCAAAATATAATACTTGTATATTTTTTAATGCTTTAAAAATTATCTATTCATTAAAAAATCCTAAAATATATATAGTTTTAAAAATAATTGACTTAACCATAATTTGCATAAACGATAAATTTTGTTAATTGATTTATAGACGTGAATGAGCTAATCATGGAGCGTTTTTCAATAAATGAAATAAATTTGCTATTTAAAGTTTTTTTGAAGTAAAAGAGTAAAAGAACACAGTTGCAAGTTCTCAACTATAAGGTTCTTTATTTAATTGCTACTAATAACAACAATACTTTTGTCATTATAAACTGCAGATCTCTAGTTATTTATAAACATATGAAGATTATTGCAAGAGCCGTCCTGAATATAAGGTAAGGGGGTAGGGAGAGTGAGCTAGACACCCCTCTCCCCTTAACTTGATTTCAAACATTTTGCCGGTACAATTATTTATAGGTAAAGTTGTAATAAAATTACATTATTTATTTAGAATATCTAAGAAAAGATACTTTCTTGTTATTCCTGTATTGCAAAAATATTTTTAAATTGTTGGTAAACTACTTAACGCAAATTTTAAAAGAATAAAGAATCACTATTTTTTTTAGAAATGCAACTCTTAGTTAAGGAGTAGATATATATAATAAGGAGTTAGAACAGCGTAGATGGGAACGAAGTTGAAATACGTCATTATTCAAAGAACGGTCTTTAATAGGAATATAGTATTCAATTAAACACCGCGTAGTTATCATAATCTCAAGTGAACCAATCACATTCCACTTTTAACAAAAGCTATCCAATGATATTGTTTTATAACGTCATTAACAAATAAATCATTGCAAATAAAAAAATGGAAGTTTGAAAAATTCGTAAGCAATATTTAAAGGCAGTTTGTTGTTATTTGATTGTTGTGCTTTTGAATTATCTTGTTCTATCTCCACTTTTTAAAAAAATTGAGTTAATGATAGTGTTGTGTTCCTCAAAATAATGTCTTTCTACTGAATTGAAATCTAAGTGATAAGTAAAAATGTTGCAGAAAAAACATAAGTTATAAAAATAATTTATACGCCGTCTCCTAAAGTTTTTGTTTTTTAAATCGTTTTATCTCAAAACTAAAAAATGTGAAGATAGAACAAGATAATTCTAACGTGGCGAAATGTCTAAATAAGAATTGGTAGTATTTTTGCCATGTATTTTATATCTCTTTATAGTTTTACCATGTATTTTATATTTAGAATAAAGCAATTTACTTTTAAATCCAGCAAAAATACTTCAACACAAAATAAAATCCTGAAGGGGTTTAATAAGTGGCCGAAAGAACAGTATTAAAGTACGTAACTAACCTATAGCTGACCAGGCAAGCAAAAAATAAGGTTCAAATAGGTAGTAGAGATTGTCTAAAACTTTGATACTTATACCTATAATTGAGGTACGCGAGAAACAATTACTTCTACTTAATCGTGATTTTTGTTTTAATTAAGTTCTTGATTGAAATAATTAATTATATGTAACATGTTATACATCATATAACATATATACGTATCTTATATATCATATAATATATATATATATATATATATATATATATATATATATATATATATATATATATATATATATATATATATATACATATAAAAATATATATGAATATATATACATATG